TTTTTTTTCTTCTTCAGCACACGCGTATACCTTAATTATTCACTGCAATCCTTCACTTTTTTGTTAACATCACATAATTTTCACTTTTAATCCTTTGAGTCACTGTAATCCTTGTTTTTGCACTCGCTTCCCCGAATGAGTGCCCAAAAACACGTTGGGCGCCAATGTGACGAAATGAGTTTGTTTGATCCGTTTTTAACTCATGTTCACCTCCGACCTCGGCTAGTCTCGGTGAGCTCACGGGTGGTTCGCTCAATCGGAGGGATAAGTGAAGGATAGAGGGAGGGTTAACGATATTAAACCGACCGTACTAATGTGGGTAAAATAATTATATATTAACTTCCTTTTATACACGGTAGTGTTTAATGGGTCGGTATAACGCGGTACTTGACTCGACTTTGGGACCTTGACTTGACTTGGTTCTTGGTTGGCTGAAGGCCTGACCTCAGCGATCCGCTCTGTTTTGCTCCTGATCGTACTCTGCCCTTGCAGAGTCTTTGTAAAAATGCTCAAGACTTAAAATTGCAGAGCAAGCAGTCTCACGGTCCCGAAACACTAAGACAATTAAGTGTCATCATTGACACACAACTAGAACAGTCAAACAGCTTCTTTACCGAGAAGCTGGACTCAGATGGCACCGTGAGAGTGCTGAGCTCTGCTCCTGCACGATGAGAAAGAAATCATATTTCTTTTCTCATCGTCGCACATTATAAATTTAATGTAACGTATTATTCATAATACGTCACATTGCATTCAACAAATAACCGACGTATTAATGACAATACGTCACAGTCATGCATAACCATATGATCGATTGAAAGTGGCTGTAGTGGTCACGCGGGGAGGGTTTGGCTCCGGCGGGCAGCGAAGCTAAGCAGCGTTCAGTCTGCCCAGTACTTGGATGGGTGTCCGCTTAGGCACACCTAACAGCGTGGGACTACAGTCGCTAGGCACGAATGTAGGGAACCACTGTGCCCATTGAGTTAGTGTGACTAATGGACACAGTGGAATCCCTGCATTATCGGCCGGCTGCACGACTGAGGTTTTCCATGGTTTCCCTTGCAGTCCAATCCCGAATGGGGTACAATTAGGGATAAAGTAAGTCGGCCCATGGTAAAGCAGATAGGGAAGGGAACAAAATGTAAAAACCCGAGAGGGTATACATATGGAACCAAAAATTAAAGGTCATATGATCAATTATTTTGTCTATTGATTGACATTTGATAAATAAAAATATATATGGCCCAGTCGTCCAGAAATTAGGGGTTTCGGCCGCATTCAACTATTTCTTAATTCAATTATTCTTTGTTTTGTTATTTTCACTTCAAATCTTTTTTTTTGCTAATTAAGATATTCTTGAAAGAATAGAAGCCATCATATCTCCGTTTAGGTGATTCTTTTATTTTAGATCCTACCACGAAACTCGAAATTCCCTTAACCGTGCAGCAATTGGCCTGTTCACCCTACAAGGGTAAAAATTTCGTTTTCGACGAATATGAAGTTTACAGCTGGGCTGACGACAAGGTCTGGACTCACATTCGTTGAAAACCAAGTTTATGCCCGAGTGACCTATAATATTTTGTCTCGACTTATTGCACGACGTAACATAACATTTTAATGATTACGTAAATTTTTTTGCAACACATCAGATGAAATGAAATAAAGATTTTTCTTCCGATACACAATATTTAAAAAATTGGACCCTATCTAACCTTGATACTAACGGCTACATTTGGTACATATTATATTTTTTATTCCAGAACCATTAACTTTGGTGGGTTGATAAACACTTTTATCAACCTGAAGAAGTTTACTCTTTTTATTAGTTGAAAAACAACAAAAATTTGTTTAATCCTTGCTGTTTTGAATAAACATTTTTAATTAACCCATTAGCTCGGAAATAAATGATTTTGATCCAGTGCTTTGAAAGACTGCTCTGTCGGAAATTTTTTAGACTGTAAGCAACGTTCACAATACTTCATTCTAAAATTATTCGCGCCTGAGACAATTGCATACTCGAGCAAGATGTCATTTTTTACATATTACAGTTTTACCCCATTTGATGCAGAAATTATCTTCATAACAAGCAATTCCTTCTGACAATGCCAAATGACCCTCCTCGGAGCAATTTTTTAGTGGAACAAAAGAGTCTGGAATGTATTATTTGAATATTTTTTAACATTACTGGTTTTTTCGATAATCAGCTGAGATATTAAGACTTTATGTTCCACTAAAGTCGTTCTTCCATTTTTATGTTGCAATGAAGTAGTTTGTTGTTCAATACCTCTAATTACTCCCATAATGAGTGGATGTGGAATGGCACTTTTAATATGCAGACTCTGTTCATAAAGTGTCTTCAATTTCTTATTGTTCTTCTGTGCTGTATACATCTGAATCTCTAGAGCGTAAATCTCTAACAACTGTGTACCTTTCTTCAAGTCATCTTCCCCATCATCAGTCTGTAAAAATTGTAATTAGATATAATATAACAATAGACAAATTTCGTGGAATTTTAAATGAATTTAAGCAAAGTTACCTGGCAACTTTGATGCAATTGTTTCAATATTTTTGCTAACTTATTAAAATCTGACCGATCAAAGTATAATTTTCCCAGCTTCGTATTTGTTTTGAACCATAATCGATCATTCTTAGCATCCTTGAGAGCATCCAGTGTGGTTTCGTAGAAGTCTTGCAATAATTCCATCTAAGGACAAAAAGAACCTGATCAAAAGTTCCATGAACTTAAAAATATGTCTTGAACCAGTAATATAATCGTAAAATCTCCGAAAACACTATGCTCGGTTCAATGAATTTGTTACAAAAATGGTATTCCACATTATGTAATATTACTCACTACTCAGATAATTCAATAATTAGCTATAAACAAGTGAAGAATTCACAAATTATTTTTATGTCATTAACCCCTCAAGGACGGGGCCCATATACGTATATATACCCAAGCAAAAACGCATGATTCTGTTCAAAACTGGATAATTCCAAAACTGTGATAGATAATCGAATTCCGCCAACGCTATTCGAAAGCTGAATAGTGTAGCTTCAATTTCTAATGCGTTTTATAATTTTTCATGCATCAGAATTTATCGAATCTCAATTAAATCAAGCGCACGTCAGGCTTCGTAACAGAAAGGCCCCTTACACGAGGGGTTAAGCCTAAAAAATCGCGATTGTAATGTCGCTTCGATTCAAATATTGTATGTCACACAGCGATGAAAGTATTACCCAACAAATGTGATTATAAGTAAGTCACATTCGTCAGATATAGCTATATTCGTCACAAGACCGAAAAAAAACTTTTTTTTCGGCCGTGTAACGAACATAATTTTTCTACACAATGTCCGTAAACGGCGTTTGATGGACACGAAGTGTCCATAAAACTTCATTTTACGGACAATGTGATGACATAATGTACTATTTTTAAATATAAGATTATCGAGATGCATTATTCTACGAAAAATTTCAAGCGACATTCTTCATAGTCCATAGACTTCTCTATCAAAGACATTCTCTAACTAACTTTGCACAAACGTTATACTCAAACGTCACACATTACTGAGATCATTGAACAAATTGAATTTTTTCCCTGTTACTAGTCAGTGATTATTTGAAGAATTAAGTAATTCTACAAAAAATGTTTGGAAACTGTTCTGGCTCTCCCCAAAATTGTCTATCAAAAAAAGGCCTTTGAAATTTTATTTTAACCGTTCTCATTACCGAGATAATTCAACAAGTAACAAGATGATTTTTCTTAGATTTTTGGTTATTCAATAAATTTCAAAAACTCTGAAAAAAAATCAAAACACGTTTTTTTATAGTAGATAAAATTTTCCGCAAAAAAAGTCTCTCGATGAATTCTTCTGAATTTTATCTGCAAAATAATTAGATAATGATGATGATGATAATGATTTGTTTTTTTTTTCTTACATTTTTCGAAGTGCTAATGTAATCCAGGATCGAGTTTATCGACTTCTCAGAGTGATTTCTCGTAACAGCACTCTTAATGTACGTCAACAATTGTTTGTACCTGGCCATCATCTCTTTGTAATTATTCTGAAAAGCAATGATAAATTATCAAAGGCATCAATTACTGATTAAATTATCAGAAGACCCTGTTAAAAAGTTTTGGCTGAAATTGCCGGTACACTTCTTGAAAATTTTCATTAAATGATAGGAATTCCAAACAATTTTAGTTAAATTTCACGGAATTCAGTCGTTGAAAATCCACAATGTGATGACAAAATCGATGGCAACCATAAATTTCCGTTCAATTAGTCTGATGTTTCATGAATGTTCATGTTTTGATTAAAACGGTCAGTAAGTCGCGTGATGCTTAATTCCTCCTGCTCATTCATTTGGGATTCCATCAAATTTCCGGTGGAATTAAAAATTTCACGATTTTTGCTTTTGAATAGAAGCTTGTGAAAATCTGGTTGTCACAGGTTCTAATTATTTTTATTTTAAACTAAAATAATTAATTAATTAAATCCTGAGTCTCCCCGGGAGTTCAAGCTCACTTCCTTTCGATAGAAACCGAGGGAGCCATTGGAAAAATTCCAACGAATTGGAATTATTATTAATTATTTGGGAATTATGCTCGAGGAGAGGAATCGTCGAGGAGAGGATTTAGAGGAGAAGAGGACGGCTCTGAGAAAAATCTCTTGGGGCCAATTGGAACTCGCTGACCACTTAGGGACGGACCTGATTCGCTGACCGAGAGGAGCCAACCTGAAGCGGGGAATTCCGACATCCGACAAGAACAGAAAATGCTGCAGTCAAGGGAAATCGTGGACGAACCTGGGGAATCATCTCCAGGATGAGAAAATCCACTACGATAATAAATTCGGAGAAATTTTTATATTGAGAATTTGAGTCAAAACTAAATTAAATATTGTAACGATTATCCAGTCCAAATGGTATTTAGTTAAGGATTTGATTTGATTAGTTTGAAGTCATTAGAGAGGGGGTAGGCCCTCTGATTGAGTATGATTTTTGGCGAACTGGCCGCGTGGCGTCAGTTCTCCCCGAGACATCGTAGAGTATATAGAGTAGCAGTTTTGAGTAGTAGAGAAATCTACATAGCAGATATATAGACTCGAGTAGCAGTTTCAAGTCAAGAGTAGAGTTGAGTTTTGAGTTGTTTTGGAGATCTGGACGATCGGGAGCAGCTGGAGCGGATTCTGGGGCACTGGACTGGATGAGTCGAGATAAGTTGTAGTCTTGAGCATTGTTAAACTTTCAAGATCGAGGCTCCAGCCCCCAACCTATTGAGAATAACTTCTGAGTTATATTAATTCCGTTGAGTAGATTTTGGGAGACCAGTGAGTCTCAGTAAATTGTTCTGCTCGTGGTAAAGATTAAATTTATTTGAATAATTTCTACTTTTCGCACTGGTAGGAGCCACTGGTCCAATGAGATATATTTTCGACACTATTGTGTATTGATTAAATTCTTGCCTTACTTTTCAAAATTATGAACTCCAATTTTTGAGATTATTTAGAATATATTGGATTTTCAAAGGTATAAATTGTGTCGCGTTGTGTTTGATTTCCAAGAATCCGAATCCCGATGAAGGGAGTATCGTCCTCCCTCCCCCTTGTAATAAAGAGTCCGGGTTGGAGATTTGTTGTCTTTTTTGAGTATTTTTTAGTGTTGAGAGGAAATTTGGGTTTGGCATTTGTCTATTTGGCCAAGGTATAGAAATAATTAAAATAGACTGGCGCCTTTTGAGTAATATTTCACGTTGGGTTGTTTTAAAAAGACTTGAGATAGTTTGTGGCGATAATTAGAGAAAATTAAAGTCATTTTGGTATTTTAGAATTTAAGATTCGTTACAAGCTTCATTATCGGTCAATATACCAATTTTATAATGTTGTGTGGAAATGATGTAGAATGTCATAGAACGTCAAAATATACATCATATTTTTAGGAAATTTCTGTATGTATGTGAGGATTTTCGGGAAATTTCTTCCAAATCCTCACAAAAAAGGGGTAAAGCAATTGTTAAAAATAAAAAATTTTATCCCATAATTGGCGATGTTAGAATGCACTCCTCTATTAAATTTCAGTAAAATTCCTCAAAAATTTTTTTACATCAATATCTCCAACACTACTACTTGATTAAATTGAATTTTTTTTACACCAAAATATTTTTCATGATAATATATATCGGAGTAAATTACAAGTTTCTAATGTGGAACTAAAAAAAGCTTGATGATAATTTGTATTTTTCATTTTTGCGATAAAATCAATATTACACGATAGCTCTCGAAAAAATCGACATAAGTTGAAATTTGATAGAATCCGTTTTTTTACATTACGAAATGAGTTTTTGGACAGACGAAATGAAATGAGTAGTTTCGGAGACATTCAACTTTCTGTAAATAAAACTGGAACTCAATATCTCCAAAATTACCAGTCAGATTTCAATTTGTTTCACTCATTATGTTTTTCTCGTGAATCGATATCAATGTCACTCTCCTGAAAATTACTCAACTGTCTATGGAATTTTAATTTTTTCCAACAGCGAATGCCAAAGAATATCCATAGAAACATACCAATTTAAAGTTAATCTTTATCATTTGTTTGAGTGCCTTAAATCCCCATTCTCCTTTGTCCCCATTCTCAAGATCAAGAACCTTTTGAAAACTTGCTAATGCCGCCTTGGGATCATCCTCCTTCAGTGCTTTGCTGTTGTAGTATTGATTCTCCAAATCAACGTCTGGTTCTGAGTTTGAATCCTCCGAGTACTCCTGGAAACAATTAATTCTGATAATTCTGATCTCAACGAGTCATCATCGTTCATTTTTCTAGATGTAACAATAATTTTTATCATTAAACATGTTGCAAGAACCTTTGAATAATCAAGTGTCATCAATTTTGTTGAAAATAAATAGGGTGAATGGACATTCTAATTTTATTGAAAATGGTCATTATTTTCAATCTCAATTTGTCAAACTCTCTAACCTCTAATTTGCCATTGCAACCGATAACCGGCAAATATCTCGGGCCCCGTAAATTTGATTCTTACCAGTCCATAATCTTCCTCTTCCTCACACATGAAATCATCCTCAGGATCAGACATATTTATGTTGTTATAAATTAATAATTTCAAGAGAAAAACAAATTATATGTACTGCTGAAACAGCAGCGGGTTTCATTCAACGTCTTCCGATGATGGGCAGGTTAACACAAGAGAGAATGGTGGAGGGTGAGCGCATGCGCACCTTGGACCATTTACGGGTTCAGGTCACCAATGTAAAGTGTTCAAAAGCAAAATTCGTAGCGGTGGCGCATGGACTACGATGGATCGTACGGAACTGTTGGTATGGTAGGGCCTGAGTATAAATTTGTCGATAACCGGAAAGGGGTTCTCAATACGGTAGCTCCTCGCATTTTGTAATAATTGTCAGGAATGTAAAATCGAACATATTATTATCAATAGTATAATTAATGCAGAATCTAATGATCTAAAAGTCTTTTCCTTTTTCTCGACATATTGATTATTGACACGTAGGTCAAAAAATTCATAGAAAATCCCAACGCTGTCGCTGGAAAACTCTATAGTCTTCCAGTGATTCTATTGAATAATTGTGCACATTTTGTTTTTTTTTACTATAGTAATGTTCGATTATATATATATTCATTCGCCCCCCTGAGTGAGAAAGGAATTAGTATCGCGCTCGCTCCCACTCATTGTCGTCTCCGTCGCGTTGGCACGTGCCAGTCCTCCGCCAAACGTAACGAGTGCGAGTGAGAAACAAAATGGAGAAGTAGGAGAGAGAAAACATTCCAACTCGTTTGAACGGTTGGAACGTTTTCGTTGTTCTCCAGCGATCTACACATAATGGGATTAATTCAATAATAATAGATTGATGAAGAAGATTNTCCAGCGATCTACACATAATGGGATTAATTCAATAATAATAGATTAATGAATAAGATTTTTCGCAAATTATTGCGAGATTTAGATGAATGGTTTGCCTCCTTCAGTGACCATAAAAAATTGTCTCCAATCGACAATATCTTCCGATGGAATGCAACGATGTGAATGAATCAAGTATCAATTTGAATCTTTAAAAAATTAATCGAGAGTGAAAAAAAAATCAGGGAATTCCACTCTGACATTTCTCTATTGTCTGTATTTACCGAGAAAAAAAAAACGTTGTTCCTAGGAATCGATGTGTCTTTTTTAGGCAGCTGCATTTCTGAAATGCAATGAGCAAATAATGTTAAAATTAAGTCATTTCGTAAAAAATTTCCAGTGACATGATCCTGAAAATCAAAGGAAAGTCTTGAATTCAGGCATGATGTCTGTAGGTTTCAGTAATATTTTCGCGGAAATTCCGGGAACACTTATTGGGAATTTTTATCGCGTTGCCGTAATACGGAAATTTCAAGGAATTTCGTCATTGCAAATTAAAAATTTCTATAAATTTCAGTCCAATTATATGTGTACGTCCACGTGAAAAGGGCCCATTTTATCGCATCTAATTTCCG